ACTGGATCCAGACTGAACAGAACCAGACCAATCAAGACCAAGACTGAACAGAACAATTCGACATGTTAGACAAAGTGGATCCAGTCAGACTTCACATGATGGACTGACTGGATCCAGACTCTCTGGACATGATGGACTGACTGGATCCAGACTCTCTGGACATGATGGACTGACTGGATCCAGACTCTCTGGACATGATGGACTGACTGGATCCAGACTCTCTGGACATGGTGGACTGACTGGGTCCAGACTGACTCAGTATCTCAGTAGTCAGGTTGTTGTTGTGGGCGTGGCAGAGCTCCTCCTTCAGGCCCAGGGGCCACAACAGTTCCAGTAACATCTGAAAGACTCCCTGGCACAGATCCAGCAGGTCCCACCCAAACAGGTCTGAACTCCCTGACAGATCTGTGTCAGAACTGCAGAACTTGTGAAACTGTTTCCTGCAGATGTTTTTGTTTAGTTTTTAACCTTTTTAACTGTTTCAGAGACACCTTCAAGTCTAAATGTCTGTTTGTTCCCAGCAGAGACCCTCAGAGTCTCAGTCTGTCCCCATTTCTGCTGCTGGACCCAAAAACACCAAAGATCCAGACTGACAGGTTTCAGCTCCAACGAGTTGAAAACTGGTCATCAGTTCAGATTCATCGCTCTGGTCCTGTTTGATCCAGTTTTTTAAAGACTTTCAGATTCAGTTCTTCTCCATGTTCCTCCTGCAGAGACACACCAGGTCCATAAACTGAATTGGAGTTCTTTAGTGACTCAGATTGAGTCCAATAAGTGAATTGGATCTCTTTGGTGATTGACTGAAATTAATAGAGTGCATTCAGTGAACTGAATCTGTTTGGTGACTCGAATTAATAGTCCATAAAGTGAGTCGAATCTCTTTAGTGATTCACTCAGATTGAGTCCCTTAAGTGAGTCAGATCTCTTTTGTGACTAATTGAGTCTTTAAAGTGGGTTGAATCTCAGTTAGTGACTCAAATTTAGTCTATAAATTGAATCAAATATCTTTAGTGACTCAGATTAATCGAATTGAATCTCTGCAGTGATTGAGTCCGAGTCCATAAAGTGAATTGGATCTCTTCAGTGAGTGACTCAGATGAAAAGACTCCATAAAAAAGAATTGGTTTACTCAGTTGTTCTTCCTGAAAAGCTTCAAAGCTCCCCCTGCTGGACCCCTGCTGGACCCCTGCTGGACGCTCAGGGTCTTCATCCTCAGTTTTAATGAAACACAAAATGTTTTAACATCACCTGAAACTTTACAGTTTTTAATGTTTCTCTTTATATTTGTTGTTAGAAATAAACTAGATGCAGACAGTAAACAAGAACAAAAACAAGCAGTATCAGATTAAAATACTTTTTATTGTTCTTCAGATTCTTTTAACAGCAGATTATTGCCACAGACAGTTTGAGTTAAAATACGCAGCAGAGCTTTATTGACTTTAAAATCCCTGTTAATCTCTCACACACACACACACACACACACACACACACACACACACACACACACACACACACTCTAAAAACAGACTCAGTGCCAACATCCAATCAAACGAGTCACTGAACAAATGAAATATAGCTTATCTTTAGTGGTTTTTTGTGCACAGACATTCTGAAAGTTGAAGATTTGTTCGAGTCAAACTCCGGCAAAGCACCTTTATGATGACAGCTTCCTCTGTTCACCTTTCAAAATAAAAGCACTTCCTCTGCTGTGCAGGTGTCTGCCTGGCTTTAAGACAACGGAACAGTTTATAAAACATTAAAGCGGTCTGACTTCAAACTTCAACTTCCAGCTAAAAGTCTTTCAAGTTTTGATTCCTGATTGTTTTCACAAGTTTAAATTACTGCATAGTTTCTGTTTCCTCACTGAGAATAAAACCTGTGGCCTGAACCCAGAACCCAGCTGCACTGAGACCACCAGAGACCACCAGAACTGAGTGTAAAACATCACAACGTTACATAATCCCATGAAGGAACCTTCTGAAGACACAGCAGCTCCGCCTCCACAAACAAACACATTATTCTGAACTTTAGACTTCCTGTTCTCTGACCAATCAGCTCTTCAGCTGTGATGGTCTAATAAATGCTAACGAGGCTCTCCCTGAACCCAAAACTTCATCTGACTGAGAACTAAACTATTTCAGCTTAAAACGGTGCTTTCAGGAGACAGAACTGCTGCGTCTTATGTTCTGTGACTCAGTCAGTTTATCATTTATTAAACTGGTGTCATTAAAACAAAGTCTGAACTTTCTGTTAGCAGCCGATAAAAGCTACTTCCTGTTAGCTGCAGCTGCTTCCTGTCAGCAGCAATAACCCTACTTAGAAGCTATTTGTTCTTAGCAGGAATTCTATATACTTTCTGTTTGTTAGCAGCTACTTCCTGTTAGCTGCTGCGTCCTGTTAGCTCCTACTTCCTGTTAGCTGCTGCGTCCTGTTAGCTGCTGCGTCCTGTTAGCTGCTACTTCCTGTTAGCTGCTGCGTCCTGTTAGCTCCTACTTCCTGTTAGCAGCTGCATCCTGTTTGCAGCTACTTCCTGTTAGCAGCTACTTCCTGTTTGCAGCTACTTCCTGTTTGCAGCTACTTCCTGTTAGCAGCTGCTTCCTGTTAGCAGCTACTTCCTGTTAGCAGCTGCTTCCTGTTAGCAGCTGCATCCAGTTAGCTGCAGCTGCATCCTCTTAGCAGCTACTTCCTGTTTGCAGCTACTTCCTGTTCGCAGCTACTTCCTGTTCGCAGCTACTTCCTGTTAGTGACTAAGTAAAACCTGAGAGTCAGCGTAGATCTGTGGCACTTTGATCGGTTCTTGTCCTGAAGTTTAAAACCGGTTCTGGAATGATGAGGTAGTGTAGAACCCCACGTCAGAGTGAGGTTCTGGTCCGATCCAACACCACGTGAACCCCCCACCTGACACAAACTTCTTGTTAAAACCAGCGGTCAGGTCAGAGGGTCAGTAGTACGGGCCGATGTTCTCGTATCCGGCGTAACTCGGCCAATCAGGGAAGAGCCCGTGAGAGCAGGTGGGGCTTCCGTAACGGTCAAAGTGGATCCCGAAGTGAGACGAGTCTGAGTGGTGACCCCGCTTCATGTAGGACCACACGATGTGGTAGTTCTGGCCCTGGTTGCTGTCCCAGTACTCCTTCCCGTCCACCCGGTAGCAGACGGCGAACTCCACGTGCTCGTTGGGCCGCAGCTCTGCGGGCAGAGGAACCTCGAAGGAGAAGGTGTCGCAGTAAGAACTCGGGTACGTGTCCTTCACGTACTCGCAGCMGACGTCCACGTTGCTCCTCCACGAGTCGAAGGTCACCCTCAGGGTCACCGACTTCTCAAACGACATGTTCTTGACTTTGACGGTTCCTGCAAAGGCCTTCTCCTTCACGACGCAGTGCTCCAGGCTCACCAGGTTCTTCTCCAGGTTCTGGYGGAACTGAAGGTAGTCTGAGGAGGGCTGAGGGAAGTCCAGCACCAGTTTGTCCTCCTCGCTGGACGACAGCGTGAGTTTGGAGCTCAGCATCTCCTGGATGTTCACGGGGATTTCGATGGGGTCCGTGAACTTCGAGAAGACCTTGACCCTGGTCAGACTTAGACCTTTGGTGTCRGCGAACGTCACGTGCTTCTTCCTTTTCTGGGCGACCGCTCCATCCTCAGGTTCAGGCTGGTCCACCAAGTCCGAGGGCTGAAACCTGAGGCAGGAGCTCCGAGCCGACGGTTGGMGTTTGGAGGTGAAGACGAAGTCCTCCTTGGACAGGTAGAGAGGGATGGTCATGTCGATGGGCATGTCAGGCTCAGAGGGAAAGATGAAGAAAGAACTGGAACACAGAGACCACAGAGAGACCGGACCGTTAGAAGGTTCAAATCTGTCAGACAAATATCCACACAAAGACCTGAAGGCTTTAACTTCAGCTGTCAAAACATTCGTTTAATATTTAGAGTGAGGGTACGAACGGTACTACAGATACTGAGTAATGAGGGTACGAACAGTACTACAGATACTGAGTAATGAGGGGGGTACGAATGGTACTACAGATACTGAGTAATGAGG